AGGGGTCAGTGCCCAGGTAGGATTTACATGGAATTCTATTCTTTCTCTAGAATTGGTCACTCGCTTCACCCATCCACCCCACCCTCCAATTAGCAGCCTGTTCCATGTGGACTCTGGGGAGGAAAGGCATCTGACCACCAGGTTGCCTCTGGAATGGGAGGAGGCCTAATATAAAAGTTCCACACTGAGTTTGCAGTCTTGCATAGGCACTGTTGACCAGGTTCCTTGGGATTCAGATCTAGGGAAGATGAAAAAAGCCTCCTAAGTTATTCATGCTACCTTTGTCTCCAGGAAATAGTACAAAATCAGTACTTCAGTATAGTATCCCTTTTAACCTGGGCATTTCATATATTCGCCCTCCCCTATTGCACGTGGAGGTAGGGGGCCTTATCGAACACTCACTGTATGCCTGGCACTGTGCAAGGTGCTGGGGATGTAGAGATAGATGGCTGAGGTAGACTAGGATGCCATCCCAGCCCTCTGAGAGTTCGCAGTCCTGTCGTCGATAGCCAGAAACCAACACCTATAAAACTTGGACAGGAGTGCTAAAGCCACATGTGTGCTCCAGGCATAGGGAAGAGACAGTGGTCAATTGTTCTGGGGATGGTGGAGGGGCTGAGAGGAGGTGGTACAAGACAGTAGGACAGACCATGCTAGATTTTCCATATAAAATACATAACACCCACCAAGTTCCAGTCAGACTTCAGATAAAGGAGGAATAATTTATAGTATAAAGATGTCCTGTGCAATATTTGGATAGACTTATACTAAAAATTATTTCTTTTTCATTTGGAATTTGAATTTTCCTGGGTGTATTTTTAGTTGGTAAATGTGGGCTTTCTGTGAGTTGAAGCTTGTACAGAGGCGCTGGAGGAGGAATAGAAAACAGTATGTGTGCAACACGTGTAGAGGCTGTCAGCAAGCAAGAAGCTGCAAGTATTTCCTGGAGATGGAGCTGGGGTGATAAGAGGGAGAAGGGAGAGGCAGGTGTCAGAGACTTTTGGATCTTGGTGTCTTACTGTAGGCTGGGCTTTTCTGGGGACAATCAAAAAGTCCGTGAGGATTTGAATCAGAAAAATAGTCCATGAGATATTTTTTTTTCTCTTTTAAAAGTTAGATTAAAAGTAGGTCTTATTTTTAGCTGTCCCCTCTGGAAGGTGGTAGATAATTTGTACAATATGCATATTTAATAAATCAATATATCCATAAAGGAGTAAAAACTGCCAAGAGAATGAATGTGTAGGCTCGGAGTGGCTTGAACCTGGTGGCTGAGTCCCAAAGAAGCGAAAGGGCCCAAGGATGCTGAACCAGCCCTCAACTGATGAATGTCTTATCACACACGTGCACGCATACACACACACAGTGCACAGAAATGCTTGTATTGGGAGGAGTTGGGGTTGGACTTTGCCTTTAACTATGAGTTTTGATGATTTTTGATGATTCTTCTTAGACTTTGCCAAACCTTCGACAGTAGGTCCCACCAGTTCAGAGGGGTTGGGGATCCACAGGATAGGTCTCACCTCCATAGAAGGGCAACAAAAAAGATGCTTGTTCCCCTAAGAATATCCACGTGCTTCATGATGCATGAGGTACATCACTGTAAACATCCCAGACTTCCTGAAAACCTAGCTATGTGCTTCATGGATATTAGGTGGCAAGAATTCTCTTACTTCATGAGGTGCAAGGGCCGGGATTGATAATTCTGCTTTACAGGTGGGGAAGTCAAAGGCGAAAGGGATAAAGCATGAATCACCTGCCTCTGAGGCGCTGAGCTGAGGACACGCCCCAGGTTTCCTGACGATGGGCCAGAACTTTCTCTGCACAGCCCAGCCTACCGCCACCCAGCTCAGACTGCAGGCTGGGTGGCCCTGCCCACTGCTCCAGGCTGGAGAGGATTCTGAGGGTGTCTCCAGAGTGTCAGAAAACTACTGATAAAAATAGAATGGAACAGAATAGGAGGGGCAGGCTGAATAAGCCCTCTCCCTGGTCTTTCGAGGAGAGAACAGGGGCAGGAAGAGAGGCCACCAGGGAGATGCCAGCCAGCCCCAAGGTGCCTGCTTCCCTCCAACAGCCAGCTCTGGGCACTGGAGAGGATGAAGAATGCCTTCTGGCCGTTGTTATGAAGCAACAGGGAAAGCCCATCCAATTTTCACAGCTCTCTGGAATCTGGTTTCTGGGAGCTCTGTCACGTCAATAGCATGTTTAAAGAAATTTTGTTCTAGAACTTTCTCCTTTGTACACACATTCTTGCCATTAAGAAAAGGTAGGCTGGGCTTTGAAATGCATAGGTTTGACAATATGATACCAAAAAAAAAAAAAAAATAAATCCAAAACCCACAAAACAGATTGCATGTGTCTCTCCATTAGGTTGTTTGTTGTGAAGGACCTGGCTACAGGCAGTTGGTCTCCATAACTCCAGGCCTGGGTTCAAGTCCATCTCTGGGACCAACACAGGAGTCCTTCCTTTCCAACTGGCCTTGGGAGGACCCAGTCATGCACTAGGTATAGGAATCTGGGGTCTTATACCCACATTCCTTGTTCTCAGCACAGTTGTGTTCCCGATCTACCCAAAAGGCCTCTTTCTAGAGCAGTTAAGGCTCTGGGAGTGGGGTGGGATTTGGGAATTGGAGGGGATCACATGGATAGGGATCAGTCACACATAGGCTGGGTCCTCCTATGAATGCTTTAGCGGGATTTACTCTGACTTGGGACATCTAGGAAGGGTGGAAGTATGTCCCTAATTTTCAGGATTTTAATCATCTTCCCAAGTCCTCCCACCCTTTGGGGAAAGTGCCAGCATGAATGAAAGGTCAGCTAAGCCTGGATTCAGAGGTGTGAGGATGTTATGTACACACACCCCTTTTTCCAGTGAGAGAGGAAGCAGATGCATTGGGCTTGGGACGGAGGGCCTGGCTGTGTGGAGAGAAAAGGACCCCCTACCAAACAGCATTTTTCTCTAAATGCCCCTTGAATTGAGACACAGTTGCCTGGTCTCCTGCGGTCTATTCTCTGGGAGGAATGGCTTCCCCAGCTTCTAGGGCTGAGCTTTCCCAATTGTTCAGGGATTAACCCTTTGCCATCCAAGTCTGTCTTTCTAGTGCTATTTCTTTTCATTCTGCCTCTCTTCTTCGGCATGCCTTATCTAGAAGTGACAGAGCAGCTGACTTTCTGCAGATGCCTCCCGTGTGCAGAGTGAAGTAAGTCACAATGTCCATTCTGTGCACCCTTGACTGCCTTAAGTAAATAGCCTCGCATCTTCACAAATTCTAGAAGTTTTACTTGGAATCTGTCCATCAAGAAATTAGGTCTGTAGAGTCCAAAGCAAGCTTCCCCAGACCTTTACAAACAAGTTGACTCTGTAAGGCAGTACCTCGTAAGGTGTCAGCCTTGAACTCTAAGATCCGTGGCTCATTTGACACATGGGGAGACACCACATTGCTCAGATGTGGGGATTTCAGCATCCTTCATCTCCTTCTACCCACAATGCAAGGACACATAGTGCTGAGACCCACCAGAGTCCATGAAGCATTCGTTGTTGTCTCTTGTCCCTGGGATCCATCATGGTCACACTCCCAGCTCTCTGCAGCTTGACCCTCCCTCTCCACAGAATGCTTGAAACAAAGAATTCCCAGGAACTCGAGGTAGATGGTGGCAGGGAGGCTTCTGTTCCCAGGGGGGCTAGCTTGGAAGGACAAGCTGTGTTTCTGTGACTATTCTCTGCCTGCCTTCTGCTTTCTCTTGGTTTTGACTTGATGTTCCAGAGTCAGCTCTGAATGTAGCATGTGTGCCTGAGTGATGGACTTGATATTTACACAAGCTATGCTGATAAGTGCACATGTGTTTTTAATGTTTTGGCTTTCTACACCACAAACATGTGTATATGCGTTTACACACACACTTGCTGTCGGATTGGGACTTGAGTAGAGATTTTTTTCTCTTTTCCTTTCTGTCAGTCTCTGTCTTCTAAAGCTGACACACCTCTCTGAGCAATATTTCCCACCACTCTGAACCACATTTACCTATAGCTTCTCATGCTACCTGAAGGCCAGTGGCTGATCCTCCCACCTGGAAAGGTATTGCATTTTTAAAATCAGCAAACAACCACAACTACACTTCCCCTGTCTGCAGAGACTAGCCAACCAGTTTTTTGCTTCAGCTTTTCTCCAGCCCCTGAATGCTGGGAAACCGCCTGTCTTTGTACTGCAACTGCAGAGAACAAAACCAGGGAGGTGAGCTGCTTGTCTGATGGGCTGCTGCTTGAAATTAGGAAAAAGTATTCTCAAAAAAGTTCTCATGCTTTCAGGGACTGTTAAGGTCTCTTGCTTTTCTGTGAGCCTATTCACATTAATTACAGCATGCGACCTCTCCCTGACACTTCTATCTGGTCCCTCTTTTTTTTTCTTTTTTTTCTTTTTTCGGTTTCCTTCCTCCCCGGGTCCCCTTCTTTTATTTATTTATTTTTTTGGTTTTGTTTTTCAAGGGGTGTTGACCTGTGTTTAGTTCTAGTAAACCGAACCCTCTTGCGAGTGAAGTGATTGGTTAATTGCACCGGTGACTGACGTGCTAAATGAGTGCGGCTCGCGGCAGCCGGGAGCTGATTGGCTGCTCGCGGAGACTCCAAGGGCTTTGCAACAGGAGCACGGGGCACTCGGGTCCTGCAGCCTCAGGAGTAGGTGCCGCGCGCCCGCCCGCCCGCCGCCAGCAGCCCGCCGCGCGTCGGGGGAACCCGGCAGCACTCGAGCGTCTTGGTCTTGCGGCGCGGCCGGTACTTGTAGTCCGGGTGCTCCTTCATGTGCAGCGCGCGCAGCCGCTTGGCCTCGTCGATGAACGGCCG